TTTTGCCACTCTTAGCTTTTGACAATGTATCACTTTTGCCATTCTGTGGCAAAAGCAAAATTTTTATAATGGCAATTGTGATGCGTTGTCAAAAGCTAAGAGTGGCAAAAATAAAATGAAAAATTATCGTTTTTGCCATGGAATGGCATTTCTGCTGTATTGTCAAAAGCTAGAGTGGCAAAAACAAAGTTTTCCAAAGGGAAAGCGGGAAACGGCCCAGTAAGCTAAGTAACGGACTGGATTTCTTTCCTGTTTCTGCAATGTTCTGCTGGTCAAACTGCGGTTTTCTTTTCTAGTTTTCTTCAGAAATTTTCCGTGTGTTGTTTTTTCCCACACTATTTTCTATATTTTATGGTAGTTTTTTTGTCTGGATTCTTTCGGCTTTATATTCCTTTTATTTCTCTAACTTGTTTTATTTTCATTATTATTTTTGCATTTTTTACTTGTATAGTTTTTTGCTATTTCTTTCCTACTCTTTTGGTTTTTTCCCTTTCCATTTTTTCTCTTTGAGTTCCAAGGAATATTTACTTTTTCTCTCGGTTAGCCTTTCACACTTTACCATTCTTCTTTCTTTCTTTTTCCATTTTTGACCAAATGTTGTTTTTTCGATCCCCAAGGTATGTCTTATGCCTATCACTTTATCAGATTTTTTGGTGCCGGATTCGTGGACAAGAGTTACTAGAAAGAAGAAGAGGAATGGCCGGCAGCAGCGCAGCCGCCGGCGCCGGCGGCCTTCGGGGCGGCCGAGATCCAGGCGGTCAGGCAAGCACGTTTGAATCAACTATTGGGCCAAGTTGGGCCTGCGGTTGATAGGGCCGGTGCGGAGTCGAGCGTGACTGGGCGTGTGGCCCAACATGCATTCTCGTATCGAAGCCTACGTACGTGTTTTCTGAATCACCGAGCGACGATCGACTGGCTATTGGGATCGGTCCGCCTCCGCCTAGGGTTCGCCGTACCTTCACTCCTGGTTTTCCTGTGCTCGGGGTAGGGCGCGCCGCTAGGAGATTCTGCCCGCCGGGTGACGCCATGGCGGGGCGTGGAAATATGCCGCCATCCAAGCAAGGGGCTGCACCCCCGGCACCGGCTGCAGCAAGAGCGACCGTGGCTCCGGCCCCGGGCCGGGCCGCCGTGAGGCAGCCAGTGGTGCCGACTGGTCAAGCCGCTGGGCGGGGCGGCGACTCTGGCACCGGGCGGAGCGATGCCCAGGTAGCCGGGCGGGATGGCACCCAGGTCGCAGGACGGGAAGGTGCCCCGGTTGCCCCTGTTGCCGGGCGGGGCGATGCCCCAGTCGCCGGGCGTGGCAATGGCCCTGGCCGTGATGGTTATGGCGGAGGTGCACGGAACTACATCGGTGACGGCTTCCGTTACAACTGCTATGGTCAGTGGGGTGATGATGGATATGATGCGTACGGTGAGGGACAATACCGTGGTTCTTCGTCAGGCGATGGACGTGGTTATGGTTGGCACAATGGCGGTGGAGCGGGGCGCGACTTTCAAGGTCCTCCCGGCAATTTTGTCGAGGGGGTGGCCGGCCCAATGAACCGGTTTAACCGAGGAGCTCACCGTACTTTCCAAGGTGGGCGAGGACGGGGGCGACACCCACCTCCACCGCGGCCTCCTCCGCCGCCTGTTGCTACGGCCGCGGTGACACAGGCCGAACATGTTGCTACGATGCAGACGGCTGCGCCTGCTCTTCCCGAGGTGGCTGTAGACACAGTCCGGGCCTTGGCAGTTGTCAGCATTCCGGTGACCACTACCGCGGGTGTCAAGGGCGGTGATGAAGGTTCTAAAAAGGTTCCGGACAAACGTGATGGTGAGAAGTTATCAAAGTGGGCTATTAAGAAAAAGAAGCTACCGTGTTATAGATGTGGCGAGCCGGGACATTTTGTGGCGGAGTGCACCACAAAATTGTGTGATTATTGTTGTAGATCGCAGCATACAACCGGTGGCTGTCCGTTGCTTTCTGGCCCCAAGCCGGTGGTCAATATTTATGGAGTTTGCTGTCAGGAGCTTATGTTTTTTGAGTCACCGGATGTGGCACCTGTGATACATGTGCAAGAGAGCTCGTTCACTGCTATTGTCAAGGTTACCAATGGGACTTTAACAGAGGCACAGATTGTGCGACAGTTGCAGGACCTAGTACTAGGCAACCATCAGTGGGACCTTGTCAAGTTGGAGCACCAGACTTACAAGGTTGATTTTCCCACTAAGGAGAATCAGTTACATACACTTAAGTATGGCATGTGCAGATTACAGAGTACAAACATTATCTTGGCCTTTGATGAGTGGAAGGAGAAGGACCCCGAGGGTACACCTTTAGAGAAGGCCTGGGTTCGCTTCTATGGTACACCACACAAATATATTAATCACTTCTTGGTGGCTTGGAGTTTGGGTTCTATCATCGGTAAGACGGAACAGGTTGATATGCCTTTTACTCGGGCACACGGAGCAACGAGGTTGCTTGTCAATGTAGTCAGTTTGGAGTTCGTACCGGATGTGGTCAAGTGGACGCGTGTCGGAGTCATATATGTGCTTGAGCTTTAGATTGAGGATACACTGATACCTCAGGAGGGAGATGAGATTCAGGACATGGATACGACTGAGGGTGATGGTGCACCCGGGAATCAGGACAAGGGGCCTGAGAGCGCACCATGGGAGCCGGCTAAGGGGCCGGCGTCACATGGTACGACGGACACATCTGCCAAGGAGGCGCCTTCTTCCATGACACCGATGACCTCACTTCGGTTTGGTTCTTTTGGAGCGCGGTCTATGCCTAGTCGATTATGGAGTAACCGAGTTGAGGGGGATGATCCAAAGGAACTCGAGTTACCACCAGTGTTGCCCCTGCTGTTGATTTGCATACGTCTCCGAGGGTCGACTCCGG